TGCCATGTTATGATCCAGAACTTGAATTTCTGATCCCTGCCTGGTTGTTGCTGCAGTGGCTTCTCTAAGTATAGGAACTCCTTTCCATTCATCAAGCCAATCTTTATTCAGGCAGTTGAGCTGATCATCCATCAGGAAATTAACACAGTAGCAGGGGCAAAACCTAAGTAACAGCTTCTCTTGCTCAAGCAGATTGACGACCAATCCTTGGGTCGACTCTTGAAAATTCTCTCATTTTACAGTCACAGTCATTCTTATCACAATTTCTTTTAGTCAATCTATACAAAATAAAGCAGAGTATATCAATAGACAAGTTAATTATATACCAAAAATAAGTACCACTAACAATCTTGTGGTATAACATGCACTTTATACACAGCACACTTTTACTATCAGAAATAATGCTTTTAGCAACATTTTTAGCATGGTGCATTAACTATGGGAGTTCCCAATATAAATTTACAATGGCAAATATGCCTCATTATTTCAAGATAATTAAACATAATTATTAGCACAAAAGCTAGTGTAAATGAAGCGACAAAAGATTCTAAATAAATACCTTCAGAATCAATTCACTTGTATAAAGCACATGCTACTTATTGTGGGGTGGGGGCAGGAGCCCAGGAGAACACGAGGCGGGTGGGACACAGGAGATGAGAGAAGAAAGGGCAGGAAATGGGAGAGAAATTCAAAAAGGCAAGCTTTTGTTATTTGTTGCTGCTCACATCCAGTCAATGAAATGAACACAACAACATTTCTTGACTTCCATTCATCATTCTCCACAGCTTAAAGCAAAATTTTATATGTGAGAACACTAAATTGAAAAGATGAAAATTTGTATTTGGGATAAAAACCAAAGGATTACTTCCTGTGAAAATAAAAACCTTTCCAAGTCGCTTACATCATAGGACATGAATGATATAGCATGACACATGAACACATCTGTTGACCACGTCACTCATGTCAGTGTATCATTTCTCTTGCTAGCTCTCAAAATTCTCTGTAACAATGACAACACAAGTCAGGTCAAATGTCATCAAAGACCACTTTGATCTGTCTCAGTATTTTCAGTATGATGGGGAAAATTCCATCCATGGAAGATCTTCCTGGGAGCTTGCTCCATATGACTGTAGTTCACAATCGGAAACACTGAAGATTTTGCCACGTGGTGTAAACTTGTGTCAAAGGAATGCTGCTTCAATAATCATGCTGGGAGTGTAGAGTGCTTGATTTACAACACAATTTTTTATTTCGGACAAGGCCAAAGCACTCCCTATTACAATATGGAGTAAAAATACCGTCATTTATATAATAATGGGAGAAACACAATAAAGGGTGCGAGTCAGCAGAGAAAGGGACAAAAAAGTATGGGCAGTCGGAGAACAGGGTACAGGAAGCAGAAGATTGTGACCCCCCAGTCCCCCCTCTCCCCCCTTCACCTACTTAAAACCAACATAAAAATTTCTGTCTTCATATCAATGTGATCAAAAATTGTGAACACCTGAAATGATGCCACAAATTTTACACTAACCACTTCAATATTCATAAAACAATAATGACATTTTTTATTTTTATTATTACACAGATAATCGACGCACCTGCAAACGCAAAACTTAAAGGTAACAATAAACTAGTAACTAGAAATAAGCAAAGGTTTAGAGAGCATGACTGAATGTGCCAACAATCAGAGGTACAAATGCTTTTGCTCCGTTAGTCTGCTTTGCATAAGTTTCACTTCACAGATGGTCAAAACATGCATGATCACATTACGAGAGGTAGAAGGTTGAAACGCACATAACCTAATTACATTTTCTATACTCCATTTATTTTTACCGGAAGTGCAAACAAATATCGGCCACATATACACAACAAGGCATGTGTAATAACAACCTAGACATTTAGGATTGTAGCCTCCTCCTGTTGCCTGCAATAATAAAATGTTAAAGAATGCAGGTGGCAACAATTGAAGCCGAAAATGTTTTTCCTGAAACACTGCACTTCCATAAGTTTCATGTCACATGATTAATGATTAAAACACACATGATGAGTTTAGACCCATAATACAATACGCAGACATGCATCACCAAACTGCATTCTCAGCATTCTATTCACTGTTAGTGAAAGTCCAAACAAATCATTGCTAGATATGGTGCATGCATAATAACAACCTGGAGATTAGCATGCATGCTCCTCTTGTTGGACACAATATATATCTTTCTTATTCTAGACAATAACATTTTATTAATAGATTTTCACCATTTTAATCATCCACTTCAGTAATGTCTTTTTCATTATTTATTATAACTAATTCATTGTATTAGTGACCTCTTCACTAATGCAAGTATCAACATTATGCCTGACAGGCATGACAATAGAGTGAACTGGAGTGTAACAATCTGTCCCTACCAGATGTGCAAATTTTAACATAATTTGAACATAACGAAAAGTTGACCACACAATTAGGAAAGTTTAACTCAGCACTGCTAAAACTTGTTGGCACCCCAAAATTCTGAAATTTAAAGCATTGTTACGTTACTGCTACATTACTACAGGGAAGTTTCCACGATGTTTGACAACAAAACTGTCGTGCAGTTTCCATCCAGAGTTAAAATATACAGAATTTCTACAATTTTGAATTCCTTTCAAGATCCAACCAAATAGAAAACAAGACTGCGGTCTAACAAACATTAAAACCACCACAATGCCATACTCTCAACATTAAGATGATCACTGCACAACTTCACAAAATCAACAAACAATTCAATGTTCGCAGCAAGACCTTTTTTTGACCTTTTATTACTAAATTTAATTTATTTCAAAGACGAGCTGAACTACCTTGCCACTATGTAAACAAGAACAGTGCAAGCCTTATGCACCTATCAATGTAAAGCCAGTGGTGGTGGTGGGGAGGGGGGGGGGTTGGCTGGGCATGAAGCAAAATGAATTAATTTCCAGAGTTTTGGGAATTCCTAGGAATTCCAATTTATTCCAAGACATACAAATGAGAAAACATTAAAAACCTTGGAATATTTGGGAATACTTAAGAAAAGGTGAAAACACCAGTGGAAATTTTTCAGAATTCCTAGGAATTCCCGATAATTGAAAGTTTGGAGGAAACTGTCTTTGGAATTTATGGGAATTATTGGAAATTGCAAAAACACACTGGCCATGTCACTGATCTTGTTCTCCCAGGGGAAGGTATATTTGAATCTTTCTTTGCTCAAGATTGAGATATTTGACTGCCGACTCAGATGAAAAGGACTGACACCGAACATATGTTTCCTCCTTCCACGCTTCACGCATGCACAATACAGTTTGCAGCGATCTGGAAGTCATGGAGGCCAACAAGAACAAGCAAAAGCTGAGTGGGTTTTGCTGTTTTGTCTTCAAATTTTGTTTGTTGTAGCATGTTTTTGATCAACTGAACCTTTTAAGATACTCTGCTATCAAAGTAAACTGAGGTAAAGAGAAACCAAGTCAATTTTGCACGTATACTTGATCAGTGTATGGCTCATTCGCTACAATCACTCAAAAGCTTATAAAACTGACTTCCTTTGTAC